GAGAGAGAGAGAGAGAGAGAGAGAGAGAGAGAGAGAGAGAGAGAGAGAGACGGAGGGGAAAGAGCTTTTCTGAAGTCATCTTTATTTTCCGCTGAAATTCGGACGGATTTTGTGATGCATGGAATTTCAATTCGACTTTCAATCGCCACGGCATTTAGCGTTAGGTTAGATGCCGTGACGTCGCGAGCGAACGAGCGACGCAATTTTCCCCGCGAAAATTTCCCCGGGGAAGAACTCCATCTCGTCCGCGCCGTCGACGAGAGGAATCCGCGAATGAGATTAAGATCCCGTCCTCGCCGCGACGTACGCGAGACGCGTGTGTCTCGCGCGCGCGTGCGCGCCAAACCTGAAATTGAGATTAATGTCGTGTGTTTTTTCGATACTCTGATTGCAGCCTCGGGAGGGGGTGGTTCGATGTTGGTCCCTCCCGTGGCCCAAAGTGCGACCGGGGATCGTCCCGTGGGGGACACGGTGGCACGGGCCCAGCAGACGACCGGCCCTGCCGCTACGACGACCCTATGGCCTTTGGCACCTGCGCAGCCCAATCAGGTTCCCAATCAGCAGACCCAGGGCATACCGTCCCTAGCCGCTACGCCTGCGCCCGCTCACAATCAAGGTTCGCATTACGTTATATCAATCGTTATTATTATCCCGCCGGCGTAACGATCCGCGGAGGCCGCCCGGACCGGACTTCGAGGACTCGAGAGCTCGAGAACATCCTAAATATTCCTCCGAGATATCACCGTCGCGGAGAACGTTCATTTTCTCTCCCCCGATACGCGAAGCGTGAAGGAGATTCGGGGGGAGAATTCACCCCGATGTGTGCTTTCCTCTCTCTTTTCCTCTGTCCTTCCCTCCCTTTCTTTCTGTCTCCTTGTGCGCCACATATGGAAACTACAAATAGAATTCCATCCCGGGTTCTCACGTCGGTTATTATAGATCGTCCTTCGCGGTATGGTCGATCGAAAATTCTAGGAGGATTTTTCCCCGACTAAAATTGAGATCGAGCTACGACGACACAACTGTTCGGCCACACGTCGAAGGTGTCGCGAGACGTAGAGGTCGCGATCGATAGAGACACGTCTCGGTCTAATTTCGAGAGAACCCTGATTTGTCGAGGGCCTAATTCGTTTCCCAGAGTAATCGGGATACTTAACACGCGCGCTACCAGCGTTCACTTGAGAAACTGTCCGCCAGCCTGTATTTCTTTTTCATGTAATAGATGTCAGGCTTACGAAAGAGATATATAGGTCTGACTCGAAAAAGAATAACAAATAAAATAGGTGTCCGACCTGTGAGAGCCAGTTGCTGTTAATTGAGCGTCACAATTTATTAGGAAATTCTTTCAACAAAATGTTGACGTGTCTATTACGTTTACTCAGTCGTCCTCTTCAGTTAAAACGTCCATTAACAAAACAAAAAATTCTTGTAGTCGTGCTCAGTGGTCGATATATAACGATCTAATGGTCAACAATGACTAAACGAAAAGTTATTTTACGCATAATCAGAGCAGAGCCGCCACGTTGATATTGAGGAGACAATAATGGACACATCACTGCAAAGTGTGTTATTTTACACGCACAAGTGTATGATTTATATTAACTTAAATTGCTGCGTTTAGACGCGTTCAATAAACAAAGTGCTTCGCGATTTGTGCGGCAAGAGACGTGTGAAAAAGAGTTTCAGCCGAATCACGCACTTGCAGTGATCGGATGCGAAACAAGCTTAATTTGTTTACGAGCAACAATTGTCGCTGTCACACGTGTACGACACGCCGGTGGCGAACGTATTAATATTGGAAATTTAGTCAATTTGCGCGAAGGTGGCACCGAGTGCGACGCCCGACAAAGTTCTCGTCGCCGTGGAACAGTCGCCTTTGAACTTTTCACGGTAGCGAGTTTCGCGGTACATCCGGTACACGTTATGTAATATTCACTATTGATCAGAGGTCGTTCACGCTTGACATATAGTGCGCTTTATCACGCTTTATCAGTCCGCGACTTGGAATCCGAGCTACACCGACGAGTTTCTCATGTGCCGAAATAGCTCAGTTGGGAGAGCGTTAGACTGAAGATCTAAATGTCCCCGGTTCAATCCCGGGTTTCGGCAGGGAGCAATTTTTTTTTCTTTTTTTTTCTTTTATCTCCGATACGGGCGCATTTTTTCCACGATTTTCTCGAAAAAATCCGAGCGTCGACGGATCATCGTTTTATGGTGTTTGATCAGTCGCAAGACGGAGCAAATATTTGTTTCTTTGCTTATCGAGTCATTCACGCTTGGTTTAGCATAATCGTGGTGTGACTGTGCACCGCGTGTAATATTAGTCATTGTTGTGTCCAGCTATATATATATATATATATATATATATATATATATATATGTATATATATACGATATTGTCATCCGCGTGAAACCAGACAGGTCATATTTCATTGTTATGCGGAGTTTTTTCGTCGCGGTCTGACCGTGACTAAATGCGTGTCGCTTATTTTGCAAATATAAGTCCACTCAAAAAAACATTGCGAATTACAATGAAGCGCGCGCGAGCACACCGCGTCGTCGTGATGTATCGCCCTCGGCGAGATTTTTCGAAGCTGAACACTCCGCTTTCGAAATACAAACGCGTCTCACGCGCGCGCGTCACTCGGAACATCTCGCCTGGCGCGACCAAAGTCATCCTTAACCCTCGAGCCAGCCGACTTATAAATTAACAGCAGCTTCATAAGAAATCGTTACGTTAATAATATCATGATAAACGCGCGACCGCGGTATTTTTAAACGTCGCAGTTGTCACGAAAAGCAAAAAGACGGCGCGGCGATTTTTTTCTCAATTAGGGTTAGTTGGCTACCGGAGTAAGTTGGCAAAACCGGTTATCTTTAGTATTTTCTAACAAGTAACAAAATTAAGCAAGCAAGATATTTAAACGAATGGCTTCTGTAAATCTGTTAAAGAACGGTACTCTCTTAAAGTGAATCAGTGAAACATCATTGAAAGCAGTGAATATACACTGATTTGCAGTTACAAGTATAGCACTGAAACTGCTCAGTGCTATAATTATAACTGATATCAGTGACTATTCACTGATTCACTTTAAGAGAGTAGAAGCAATCGATTCTGCCGACTTATCGTGGTGGCCAAATAGTCCTGCTCTCCTCTACATCGCGGCAGATTCGGCGTAAAAGGACACACACAGGCAGCGCTGGAAGTGCGAATGAAGGCGCGATGAAAATTGCGCCCGCCAGTACAGTTGTCAGCGAATCGATACGGCATGCTAACGAAAGAGTTTCAATTTTAGATCTTCCGCTTCCGCAAGGGAGGGGGAGAGTTTGCGCGCGCTTTCGCGAGACTTATCCGGTCAAGGGTCGAGCGTGTCGACGAGGTGTAATCTCGTAGCGTGTCGTCAATTATTTTGCCGCATTAATTACTAACTCCTCGATGTCCTAACGATGTTACAGGTGCGAGCCGCTACGGACTGTACTCGTTATTCCCGGGGGGTGGCGGGGGCAGCTACGTCGCTGCCACCCCCGCCACCCCCGGTCCACCGGCGCCAGCGCGGGCTTATCACGCGACGACTCACAAGGGTAAGTTCGCAACGACTTCCTCCCCGTTCGCTTCCTTCGGGCCACCGTTCTGCGGACACTTCTGAACGCCGCGTTTTACATTTCGCATTCACTCAAGAAGTGCGCGCGATTCCTTCTCGTACGTTCGGTAAACACGCCGTGAAGAATTACATTCGGCGAAATGCGGCATTAAGCTGAGATTAAGCCGAGCATTAAATCCGGCCGAACTTCGACGGCGCGGGGAAGTTAGATTTCGATGTCGTCGTGGCTTCCTTCGCGAGTATCTTCGCGAACGGGACGGAACTTGGGTCGAAATTTTAGTTTGGTTAAGTTCCGCGCTAGGTTAAGTTGGTGCAAAGTGTTTGTCGTGCTTGTCAAATAAAATCAAGAAACAAAATTATCAAACTTTGAAGGATTATTCTTGCAGATAACGTTAACAACATCTATTCGGTATTCCTTTTCTTTTTTTTGAACATTTAAGATTTCTTATTTTCATGTGAGTACTCAAACGAGTATAGAAAAATGACAAATATTTTGTACCAATTTAATACATTAACTCTACAAAAATTCCATCGAACTTGGGGAACCAATAGAGAATCGCAAGATATAACATCGTACAAGTTATTGTCCTACCTTGACGCTGCAAGGACAAAATAGACTGTAATTTATTAGATTATTTAAATTTATTGCCATTTCCTCCAAGTCAAGGTTTAGAGAAGCACTTATTTCGTAATTGTTTAGTATTCAATTATCTCAATATTCTATCTGCGTTTAATCTTGATTTTCTATTTTAATACGCAACATGTTAATTATGTAATTTATTTAACTGCAGATAGAGAATACGAGTTGTGCAAACAAAGATTAAATATTTAATGCAAGGAAATAAAATGATATGATAATAACAATGCCGCGCAGTAGCAAAAAAAAGAAGGCGTTCGCGATATGAGGCAGATTCGAGATGGGATTTGCGGTTCAAGGTCCATTATTAGATGCATACATCAGCACTTGCGAAACGTATATTAGATACTGAGGCCGATATTCATAGTTGTAAATTAATTACAATCTTTATACTTGTGTGTGCGATTGAGAGCATAATTAATTACAAAGTCATGCATATTTATGGACCGTTAATCGACTGTTCCGATCGATGTTTCTTTTGTAAAATAAGGACTAACGAATAATCAAAGAGAATAACTCATATATAAGGCTAAGATTATCTATTAAATAATAACGGACTATAAATATATATCGACCTGACGCTCGACTCGGGTATCTTATGCCTGATGAGATCGTTAAACGCTCGTTAAAATCCGAAACATCCCGTACAACAAACGATTCGACATGCCTGGAAATGTACGATATATGTCGCTGTCCGCGTCCCGATATCCTCCTTTCCCTCTTCAGCATCCTGCTTCCTTGTAATCCTGCTTTTCCTGCTTCTGGATAATCACTGATATCGGCACTGATACTCGCGTACACCAAAAGAAAAAAATGATCAATCTAACGAGAAAATTATATAATATATTGCGTTTTGCCCAAATCATATTTTCTGTAGCCAAATGTAGCAGTAACATGCATACAGGATTATTATTATCGTTAACATTAAGGATTTAATGAAAAAATAGTTTTCTCGGCCGCACAATTTATAGCAATTATTTCTTCGTGTGTGATCATAGTTAGAAATACTAGACATTCTCTTCTCGGTGTAGATATGATGCGATCGGAGAAAGCCTCGTGAGTGAACGCGATGTCGACGATAGCCCGACTAAATATTCCAAGAGCCGACGAAATATTCCAGTCATCCGACGAGTATTATAACTGTAACGCACTGAACATACGCATATTCCGCGTCGCGATATGCGCGTCGTTCGTCGGCTCGACACGTAATGACTCGGTCACAGAGAAAGTACGCGACGCGCGAGAATCCCAAAACAATAAGTAGGAAAGACAAAGTAACCCCCTTCCCCCCTCCCGCCAAATACCAGCTGCCGTCGATCAGTGACGCACATATTATCCCGGGAGATCACAACAATCGACGCTCTCAAAACATCCCGCAAGTCCCACTTCGAATCCACCAACTAGTCGTCTGTTTACTTTGTTAAAGGGTTGTCGCTGTTGCGCCGAATCCGAATTTAAATCTCCATTGATGCATAATATTATTGCTTATCTTTTACTTTTCGTTTTGAATCACCGCTTGTTAACCCTTTGCGGCATAATGCCATATGGCACCTTTCTCTATTCGGTTTTTTATGATTTTTACGCATTTTTCAATAAGCCAATATGACTTCAATCACACATTTAAGTTCCTAGTACATGAATCACTATATAACAATCATTAAAATTATGTTATTTGTTAGGTAATAATATTTTATTTGTTAGATAATAGAGTCTCAGGGGTCTTTGAGATCGCAGAATTCGAATTGGAGGTAAAAAAGTGACTTGATTTGTATATAACTTTATGTTAGAAAGTTTTTTGGATAGCTGATTACGAATATGTTGACAATTACAAAATTTTAAGTTGCAGTCAAATACGGTGGAAAATAGAAATCTCGCTTTTAGCATTACACAGAACTAACGACAAGGACGTAGCGAGTTTCTAGTTCCACCTTTTTTGTTTTTCTATTTTTCTATTTTTTATTTTTTTAAATAAATATAAATAAATAAATATTAATAAATAATAATATATAATATTAATAAATATTAATAAATATATATATTTTTTTAATAAATATCTCTAAACTCGTTCAGCCGAACACACTATTGGTAAACGCATTGATGATTGATGAAACGATTGATTGAAAAAACCCGAATACCTAATGTCGTGCAAATCAAGTCACTTTTTATGTTTTCGGTCCGTTATTTTGGGTCCGCCATTTTGAATTTTGAAAATTTTTAAAATCTGACTTTATTTTCGTGATCAGCGACCCCAAAAACCCCTGAATACCCGATTTTCAGTGACCGGGATCATTTTTACATTTTCATGTCGGGTCCGCTATTTTGAATTTTGAAAATTTTCAAAATTTGACTCCATATTCGAAATCAGCGACCCCAAAAACTCCTATATACAGAGTTTCAAGAAATTCGTATGTAAGGAAAAATATATGCTTCAAAGAGTTAACGGAAATTTCCGAAGCTAATAAGAAACGATGATAGATAGTTTATGAAAGAGAACACTTTTTGTTTATGCATTAATCTTACTATTATTTCCATATTCATTGTTTAGTGTTGACTCTGGTCGCGTATATTCCACTTGCGGTCAAATAACGCGACTGATACACCGAAGCTAAAGTTATATCTAAGTGCACGCGAGGAGAAAAATTTTTACAGTGGAAATTAATGTAGAATTTTTTTTATAACCGGCAGAGCAATATATCGACATTCTGCCTTGATTTATGATCCTTCCGTTTCATATGCGCTATTTATATATTAGACACTAAAATATATCGCTGAAAATTTTACCATGCATTTCAGCAAGATGAATTCTACTAACAGTTTATTCCCTTAACACACTGCTGGAAAATATAATTAATTTTTATGAAAAAAAGTGAATATTAAATAATTCTGAAGTCTATGCGTTAAAGATGACAGCGAAAGCGGCCATTTGTGGCATGAAAGAAATAACAATCTCCATTGGAGAATCTCGAGATTTAACACGGCTATTGTTATTTCTTTTATATGCCACAACACACAGTATTAAATCTCGAGATCCTCCTCGTTGGACCTTCAAATACGGGATTTGCAGAATTAATGCCGAGCCGAAATTTCGACTCGGCTCACTCGGATAATTGAAACCTCGACGGTGAGGATAGAGATTCGATTTTCGACAAGACTTCGATGAGGAAGGACGAGAAGGAGAAGGTGGACGAGGAGGAAGAGGTATCGACCCTCCGACGTATTCCTCGCCTCCTCCTCCTTCTGCTTCTTTTTCCTCCGTTTTTTCCTCCTCGAATCTGTTCTCCGTCCACATCACCACTACCATCTCCGCCTCACGGAGCCGCGTTTTGGGTTACACCTCGGACAATGAGGTTGTTAGGGACGGAGGTGAGACGAGCTGTGCGCGACTGGACACGCGGCCGCACGCGGGAATTCTATTTGGGCGCGGGCGCGTTTTTCTTCAACTCCGCTGAGTCCTCCGAGTTCTCGCCGCTTTAATTGCATAATTGCTCCATTGTGGGCCGACCGGCCGGCGGGGTGGGGATCGCGCGGACGTGAAAGGGTTCGCGTCGCGCGACGTAAAAACGCCATAGAGGATGTGCGCTAATTGGTAGTGAGCCGGAGAAAGTACGCTCGTCTTCGACGAGAGGGATCGCGCACACCCTGGGCCGATTTTTCCCGCGCGCCCAAAAGTTCGATCTCCCGTGACCTCTAATTATCCATGTTGTCTCTCCATGTTCTCTCTCTTTTTTTTCCATGCCTCGCTGCACGTGGCGCAGAACGTACAGGTGAGTGCAAGTCGACCACTCGATCGAACATATATAAACGCGAAATCCCGTGAGACCTTAAGGTCCGTTTTAAAGAGGAGACGTGATACGTTAGAAAGAGACGCCGGCGTATCCGCGCGCGTCGCAAATACATCCGCGGGGTATTTTTCACGCACATTAATTTGCATAGGTAGATACGTATCCACATTTAGATAAAATCAATAGTCCAAGCAGTGACGCGCAGCGCTGCCGAAGATATATGTATTGCGCGGTCGTGCACGCTGATAGACGCGCTCTATATATACATCTCTCTTTTTCTCTCTCTCTCTCTCTATTTTTCTCTTTCTTTCTCTTTTTGTCTCCGTTTCTCTCCACCGCGAGAATCGCGTGTTTTCCTTGCGAAATGCATTCCGCAGACATCAATGTGCTACCTGCGGCGTTCAATTCTTCCGCAAAATAGCGTACCGCTCTCGCGAAAGAACTACCCGTTCGGCGCGATGATAAAGCACGGTCCAGACTCTCCATCTTCGTCGATAATCAGACGCGAGATATATCTCCGTCTCGTTACACGGAAACCGCGCGCTTGTGAACCCGGCTATCTCCGAGCTATCTAATCGCGCTCGACTTTTTCCGAAACTGCAAGGCGCACTCGCATCGCGGAAATATCGCACGCGCACGCCACGTGTAGGGTAAAACGTCTAATCATTGATATCCCCTCAGTCACGGACACGCCAGAGAAAAACCTGATTTGTCTTGTGACCAGCGCTTGCGATTAACCTTCACTTCTGCACTTTGTGATTCCAAAGGAGAATCTCCCAACTAAAACTATGATCAATCGTCATTGGTCGCGAAAAAACCTACTACTACGTGTAAGATAAAACGTCCAATCATTTACATTCTCATAGTCACGGACACTCGAGAAAAAATCTGTCTTGTAACCAACATTGTTATTCTAAACTTCTCCCCTGCATCCTATAATTCCAAAAGAGAATCTCATTACTAAAACTGTAATTAACCGCTATTGATCGTAAGAAAAACTTGCTACGTGTAGGGTAAAACATGTAATGTGTAGAGTAAAACATCTTAATCATTGACATCCCCTTAGTCATGGACACTCCAGAAGGAAACCTGGTTTGTCTTGTAACGAGCATTGCGGTTAAACTTCTCGCCTGCACTTTATGTCTCCAAAAGAGAAGTTGATAATTAAAACCATGCACAACCGTGCATTGGTCGCAAGAAAAACCCCTACTATGTGTACGGTAAAACATCTAATCACTGGCATTCCCTTAGTCATGGGCACTGCAGAAGAAAACCTGGTTTGTCTTGTGACCAGCATTGTAGTTAAACTTCTCGCCTGCGTTCTACGACCCCAAAAGAGAACTTGATAATTAAAGCCGTGCGCAATTGTCATTGATCGCAAGAGGAGCTGGGCTTTTGTGAATGTACTAATGACTAGGGGGGGGATCAATGATTGGGTGTCAATAATTGGGCGTTTCACCCTACACCGTACACGTTAAAAGAGGAACGTTGTACCGAGGGTCAAGCGTTTCGGATAACCGACGAGTTATCGAGCAGACTCGGAGTATTCCACTCGATATTCCCTCGTCGCGATAGCGTTGCACGATATTTCCCACTTTACGCGGCGGAACGAACGAAATACGAACGGACGGACGATCCTACGTTCGTTCGTTCGTTCGTTCGTTCGTTTGTCCGTCCATCCGTTCGTCCGGCCGCGGACGTCCGCGGAAGGGCGGGTCGATTAATCGGCGGATTCTCCAGTTTCAGAGAGCGTGTTTTCCGCGGCGGTGGGGGTGGGGGTGGGTGGCTACACCTGGGGCGCTCCCACGCCGCCGCCGGGATCGCCCTACAGCCCGGTGCCCGTGGCGCAGCTGGAGCTGCTGGCGAAAAATTTGGCGAACCTGGCGCCCGCGGGCCAACAGGCCTTGAGTCTGCAGGGTGTCGGTGTGAACGTGGGTAGCCTGCATCACGCGCAGCATACACAGCACACGCAGCACACACAGCACACCCTCAATCTCACCGGGCTCCACCATCTGCATCATGGTGAGTGATTCTCTTTTGCCCTTTCTTTGTGTCTCTATCTGTTTCTCTCTTTTCCTCTCTGGAGAGAAGAGTAGAGTTTATCGAAAATGATTTTTAATACCAAACACATCTTGGGGTTCAATTATCCCTTTGAGTTACAGTGTGTTCTCCAGTAAAATAAGATATGTAGGATATCAGAGTTGGAACATGTGCAAAAAGAGGAAAGCATAGGTGTAAACACAAAAGTAGAAGTAATTACATTGGCTTAATGAACCGAAGCGAACGAGAGAGAAAAGAGAAGAGAGAAAGAGAACTATCTCTCTCTCGCCGCTCTCTGAATGGTTCGCGAGCGGAACACGTGCGGCCGGGTTGTCGAACAACGCGGGTTCTAGAATCTCGCGTGACCTTTGTGTGTCTGTTTCATTTGGCAAGGTGGCCTCCACCAAAACGCGTTCTCGCCCCAGCTGTCCCTGGTGACCGGCAGCGCGCCGACGCTCACCATCAACAGCTTCTCCTCGCCCAACTCGACCAACGGCGTCGTGCCCACCACCGGCGTTCTCCTGCAGGAGTACCAGTCGCCGACGGGGACGACGGCGTCGGCGGGATGTACCGTCACCGTCAATGGCCCTACGGGCCTGACCAGCAGCATCTCGAGCAGCAGCATGATGGTGCACGGCGGCGGCAACAACCAAGTCTGCAGTCAGGCCGTTCAGGCCGCGACGAAGAAGCGGGAGGCTTTCCTTCCCAGCCAAGGCCAACCGGTGAAGCTGGAGAACAAATCGACGAGGACGTCGTGTCTTTGCAGGAACAGCAACGGTACGACGTCCGTTTCCTCCGCGTTACCGAATTCGGCGAGACGAACGGTCGCGTACGCCTCTATGATCTCCGTACAACTCGCGATGACGAGCCTCGATTTTCGGAATTTCACTCGGATTTTCGATTCCGCGATCTCTAGAGAACCTTCCAGATCCCGAGAGAATCCGAGGACCACGCTAATCCTCGGCCTCGGGACATTGTTTCTCGGATAGCGTACGACGCTACGGATGTCGGAATCATCCGATCCGGAGTCCTTTCTCTACGGGATGCCCAAATCTTCTTCTAGAGTCCACCAGTAATTGGCTTTTGGAACTCCCGGTCCTTAGCCAGTGTTACTAAGATCTTCTAGAGCTCGAAACATTGAAAATCCGAGAAACGAGGTCTGCGAATTCTGAAGGCTCCTCCGCACTCTGTCGCACACGTCGTCCCTCTGCGCGCGAAATACTTCGCGGATGATTCGCGACGTACCGCACACGGGCTAACGATACATGTCGCACAAGTGGGAAACGACTGATTGTAGGGAAGACAAAGATAGTGCACTCGGACGTGGGGTGCAGCAGGACGCTACCTGTCGCGTCGTCCTGGAACGGGCAGGACGGTGCTGGTGCTAACAATAGCGGTGCTAGCCTGGTGAAGAGGGAACCCTTAGCCTCGGTTCCCTGTCAAGTCGCGGAGGTTTCCACGTCCCTTCACGCCACCACCACCTCCGTCAAGATCGAGCCCGTTCCACCCAAGTCCGAGAACGGTAAGTCGATTCCCGGTTATCGCGCGGAACGAACGAGGCGACGATTACTCGCACGACCATCGGGATGTGTACGGAAAAGAAAATGCTGTTGTGTCAATAGAACTGGCTGGCTTTTACAGCGGCAGCCATAACAAAGCGGAAGATCAATATAATTGATCCACAACGCTGTATAGTTGGAGTGAATCTCTTTCTTATTCAGTAGCAATATTACTGAAACTAACGCATTATACGTTGATTAAAGGACTCAATTAATGCAAAAGGTTGGTCGTGTTTGTCAAATAAAATAGAAAACGGAATTATCGAATTACTTTGTTAAATTTTTTTTATTAAATTCAATATGGAATTATTAATCTTTTTGAACGGGATCGATTTGCGAGTAAAATTTTTGCGAGTAAAATCAACAACATTGAGACTCGATTTTTTAAAACATTTTTAAACATTTTAACTATTGTTATATTTTTTAACTATTTTTAATTCTTATATTTTATGTTTTTTAAACATTTTTAAACATTTTAACTATTTTTTAAACATTTAATGAAACATGATTCTATTTTCCTTTTAATATTTCTACGTACAGAAAAATATATTCAATATTACATTCAAGTCATCATAAGCGTCAAACTTATTCAAAATACGATGTAGATTTTAATAAATTCAGTATTTTAATCAGGAATATTAAATTTAAAAAACTCAGTTTACTTGCTGTATAAAATCGAACCAAGTTCTTTATTCGATAAACTCTAACAGTATTCTTGTAAATAGCGTGAATTCTTCTTTTGAGTACTTGAAAATGAGCTTTTCTCAAATCTGCGACAAATACATTTCAAGACTATTGTCGAAAAAATATTTTTTGTGGAAAATAGCCACATTACTCAAAAGAAGTAAAGTCAGTAATTGCGTTTCTTAACAACCGAACAGAATATTTTTCCGTGTGTGTATGCGCGCTTTTCTAAGTTTCTTTTGATACCTAAACTTCTTTCGAGAATTTGATAAAAGAATGACAAATCTTTTGCAACCTAACAGTCATTTTGCAGTCAACCTAACAGTTTCAGTGGCATTGCTGTTGAATCGAGAAGATTCGCTGCGATTACGCTGCTGTTGGCCAATTTTATCGATACAGCAGCATCTTCGTCCCGCGGCACGTTCACGTCACGTCGGCGAGGCGGTTCAACGTCCGCCTCAGTCCGAATTAATTGATACAAGGGAGCGCTCGCGTGAGATATCGAGATGTATCCCGATTACCGAATTCGCCGCATACTTTCCTCGCGCATGTTTCACGCGACACTCCGGCTCGAGCTCCGACACGAGCTCCATTAGCACGATGCTCCGGCGCGAGTGTCGCGCATGAATCCAACGGACCGGTAATCTCAACGGCAGATGTGCGCGCTAAAAATTGTACGAAATTCCCCCTTACGTAATGCGCGACAAGGTGTCGTGTTCGCGGGATACGGATCTCGCGAGCGAGATATATCCCGCTGGATCCTCGAGAGAGCGAAGTAGGAGTTATTTATAACGAGCGCTCGCGCGCGCGAGCCTGAGATCTCGAGCCGAGGATAAAAGTATCGCCGGTATCGGCGCGATTACGCGCTCTCCTCTCAACAATTACGCGAGGAATCGCGAATGGTTCGTCCAATAGCACGATCGACGATGATGACGATGACGACGACAACGACGACGGCGACGGCGACAGCAGCAGCGATGACGGCGCGACGCGGAGATCTCGCTCGCGATACAAACGATATCTTCAAAATCGAGATAATTGCGTCCTCTTGACGCGCACACGGACGGACGGACGGACGGACGGACGTTTGCCGGTACTTCGTGAAGATGGCGAGAGCGAAGATCTCGAGCCGCGATAAACGTAATACCGTCGCAATCAGCATAATCGCGTCTCTCCTCAGACCAACCACACGAGGAATCGCCTAATACGAAGGCGGCGCGACGCTTTCTTCGTCGATAGGCGCACCAAAAGGGGTAGGCAGGAGGAGAAGCGCGAAGGTAGGGAAGAAAAGTGCATATAACCGCGATATGGACGAGCGCGGGGAGGAAGAGAAGACGGACGGACTGATGAAGTCAGAGGAGACCCAGGGACCAAAGAGAACGAGAAAGAGAGAAAGAGAACCGAGAGTCGACCGGTCGGTCGGTTGATTCCGAGCGAGACGGCGAGAGGAAAAGAGCAAAGAAACGAGGCAGGAGACGGGACGCGCGGGGTAAAGAGGGGGAGAGAGAGAGAGAGAGAGAGAGAACGGAGCAGTTTCGTTAAAGTAGGAGGTGCGTGGCACGCATGGCGACGTAAACACAAGGCGTGGTTCGAAAGAGTCTCGACCCTCTCTCTCTCCGGTCCTGACACATCCGCGCGCCTCTGGCACACAGTTCTCCCGTGGCCCCGGTGGCGTGCGCGTTGGCACACACATGTTACGTCATTCGAGCATAACGCGCCGCACCGTTCAGGACACGGGGAACAGAGACGCGGCGGCGGCGGCGGCGGCGGCGGCGGTCGACGAGAAAAGAAAGGAAGAAAGAAAGGAGAGGACGCGGCAGGGAGAGGCAGGCAGGGGCACGAGATCGGGAGGGACGGTGATTTAAATGAACGCGTTTCGGGGTGCATCGGCGGGATACACGTGCACCGCGTCTCTCGTTGATAAAAAGCGAGAAAAACAGACAGGAAACGCTGTCGTCTGCGATGATTCGCGGCGATGAAACTAGGAGTACGCGGAGGGGGGAGGGGGGAACAGGTCGGGAGAGACGGTGATTTAAACGGACGCGTGTCGGAGTTGCGCAGAGACACGCGTGAGAAGCGCGAAAGGCATCCACTTCGGCGAGAGAAAACAGCCGCGAGGAAAGTCCCGAATGAGCGCGTCTAGAAACGCACCTAGGAACTGCCTGCTTACAATCCTGCGGGGGATTGAGGTCGGTACAGTTTCAGGTATCGATGCCGTCGATGCGCGCCCAAGTGATCTCTATCTGTACATATTTCACGAGGATCGGCGCGTCTCGCGTGTCTCTGGCAACGAAGACCTCTGGCAACGCAGACCCCTGCCGCCAAACGTGCCAAGTCCTGGAAGGAAAAGCGCGAAAGCTCGCGCAAACGATGATAAATCGATCGCGCTCGCCTTGATTCTCGCGACAATTCCCAATTAAATGGTCCTCTTTGATTAAAACAAGAGAATATATAACGGACACTAAGGGACCGTATCGATATCTTTCTTCAGCTTGCATCGCTAAGATGGAGTTTCCCATATCCTACAACTTTCCTCTTGTTCTTTGCACTTCATCCTTCTTATTTGCACAGCACCTGTTCCAGCAGTTCCTGCGTTATCCTTCTTCCGTTTACCTTTATTTTGCATCCTTATCCCATCCAAACTTTTCCTCTTCATCTCTTGTATCCTCTTCTTCTTCCATTCCTTGTATACTTTTATCTTCTATTATCACTTATTATACATTTTCTCTATCGGTAATTTCCTCTGCATTACCATACTGATTTAAGCTTGCCTGCATTACCTACATTACCCTAACTACCTTATGACGCCATAATCTCTATTACATATGTACTTTTTCCGCCTGAATCGTGCTTTTCTATCTAACGCCTTGTTTCACCTTCGCTTATACTCTATACGCTCATTCCTACATAATTTCCTCCATCTGACCCCCCATAATAAATATTCCTCTTAACTCAATACACTAAAATCGTTCCAAATTCACGCACCACGTTAATCAAGCATCAGCACACTTTCGCACTAAGTTCATGAACTAGTATGAAGTAGCTCATGAAGTTCAGAACCGTATTAATAGTCGTTATTTGAAACTTGTCCCTCAAGTGAGATATTCAGATTTTTATTTTGTTAAATCCAAATTTTTAATTGAATTCCTGATTTTTCTGTATATACGTAGCAGGTTCGCGTGTGAAAGCGCGTCATTTCGAGAAAACCCCGCCACCTCGGTGGTATTTCACATACCTCTGATATGTGAGTGATATAATATTTTTTTTATAGAAACATTAATTTTTGTATAATTCCACTTGTGCAGGCAAACGCGTGAATTTGGCGTTTTTTTTACCCTTTTTTTTGTAAAAAGGTTTGTTCGGATCTCATATATCACTTCCGATATGTGAGTGATATAATTTCAATTACACCGTGCGGCAATTACACTGAAAGGACTCCGACAGCGAGTCGATCCTGTGCACTCTCATCGTGTTCACGCACGATTTCCCCAATCGTTTCAGGAATAGTGGTGTCCAACGCAGGAGCCGGTGGCATACCGGTCGGCATCGCCGTGGCGAGGCAGCGATTGCAGCATCAGGAGACTTCAACGTCTATGCGCAATGTGTCTTTAAGTCATCACACGTCGCATCACGCGAGCTATCATCATTTCCAGCCCGACAGCCTCGGTGAGTCTTTTCACGCCAGATTTCACCTCTCGCGGGATTACGAAACTCCGTTTCTGGACCCGATACGATACGATCGGTAACGTCGGGACCGCGACTCTTCGCGGCGCAATGTGAGAATTTAACAACGCGCCCGGCCGTTGCATGCGCGCAAATGGAATTACACGTGCGAATTTGCGCGGTCGCACGAACGCCACTTCGGGTCGTCCGTAAACTGAGCGGGAAAAAAATGCTCAATCTCTCTTATTGGAAATAGCAGTTATTCCCGGCAATAGCCGAAGAACTTCGACCATTTTGGGCCGTCCAGTCGTCAATCATATATAATTTTGTAGATAATAATGGCAGTATTTAAGAAAAAATAGTTTCAGATCCTTAAGGGGATTGGAGGGTCGGATTGCCTGAAAATCGTGCTTGTTCTTTTACAATTTTTTATGACAACTGAATGAATGTGCGAAAGTGTTATTTTGACTTATATGTATTTATATATGTAAAGAGAAGAAAAATATAATTTTGATGATCAAATATTCAATATAAGTGTATGGTACATGCAGTTAAAATATATTTCGTTTTTCTTTGAAAAATCGTCATGTTGCAGTAATGACTCTCAGTGATTCAATTAAGCAGTGATTCAAGCTGAATTTTAGGTAGAAAGTTTCCGTAAACTTGTCGTTATCGTGTGAACTACCATATAGAAATTGAATAAAAGTTAACAAAATTGCAAATATCTTAATGGAATATTATTAAATTTTCAGTTTTTTTATAGTAAAAAAATTAATATTTCAAAATTAAACATTATAAATTATTAATATTATAAATTATTATAAATATTAAAAATTAAATAAAAATTAAATATTATAAATTATTAATATTATAAATTATTATAAATATTTAAATTAAAATAAATATTAAAATTAAAAAAAAAATTTATATGGATATTATTCCAAAGAAACATTTATTTGATTCAACAAACCATTCTATATATATCATTAAAAAGGTATTTAGCATATCCTAGGTACCAAATTATTGATATAATATGAGCACAACAGCCTACAATACGAGCACCATTCTTACACAGAGAGAACGATTTATTGATTCAAATAAATGTTTCTTTGGAATAGTCCAAACGAATTATTTGGTTGACACAACAAAAATATTTCTTTGGAACTAAGCCGCAAATAAATATTTTTGTTGCTTCAAACAAAATTTTGTTTGATGAATCGAAAAATTCGTTTGGACTATTCCAAAGAAGCGTTTATTTGATTCAATCAAATCGTTCTCTCTGTGTCATGTGCAATAATATTCTTTAATGGAATCTTTTCCTTCAACATTTCTTTCTTACCGCCGTCACCACGAGGAGATGCCTTAGATGCAAAAAGAAATCTTTAGGAAAAATCATTGGTTAAAGGCGCGAAAATAATCGTGTAAAAATAAATAACAAACGTATGGGCAGCTCTAATGATAAACTACCGAACGAATAAATTTATATCATTAAGAGATCAGAACTACGTTCGGTGGGTTTGAGAATCTAAAACTATTTTTTCTTAAATACTACCATTATTATTTATATCTACAATATTATATACGATTGATGATTTGACGCGGATGGCTCAGAAATCCTTGTGAAAATGGGCAAAGTTCTTTTATTATTCTAATAAAAGGGTGCAATAATCGCGATATGCGCGTATATAAAGTCATCATCATGAAAATTCTGACAGCAGCTATTACACTGAGCGAAACAATACCTAAAAAATAGAGGATATTTATTCGGTGCGTATCTACTCAATAACGTATCTACTCAAATCTAAGTACTTTCACTCGAATGTGAAATAAACAATTGCTTTCATGAATATTGGTTTCAGAAAAATGTACTCTCTTAAAGTGAATTAGTGAAACATCATTAAAAATAATAAATATACATTGATTTACAGATATAAGTACAGCACTAAAACTGTTCAGTGCTATACTTATAACTGATATCAGTGACTATTCACTGATTCACTCTAAGAGAGTATATTTCCTCATTTAAGGAAAATTTTTTCAGTGTAAAAATATGTATATCATACGGAAAAAAAGGTTTGGTTGAATTAACCAAATATCTTGTCGAATATGAACGATCCAGAAATTCCGATTAAAGTAATCCGAATTCTATTTAAGTTAACAAGATTTTTGGTCGAATAATGAATCATGTCTGACTATTTAACAGACATGTTTGGTCAGTCAACCAAAAATCTTCTTAACTTAAATAGAATTCGGGTTACTTCAATCGGAATTTCTGGATCGTTCATATTCGATCAAATATTTGATTAATTCAACCAAACCTTTTTTTCCGTGTAGTACAAGTAAATGTGTGTCATTAGCACCGAATAAATCTTTCTTATCTTTTAGATATTTTTTCTCTCAGAATAGAAACATAAATTTATTCGCTACGATTTCGCTAAATAATTTTATTCGCCGCGATTATATTTCATTGTGCAATTATACGAATACCATTTTCTCAGGATAAAGAAGAACTAGGACAACACGTGCTTTTCTTTTCGCCGCCTCGGTGTTAACGCATTGTGTGAACCGCGCAGATAATTTTATTCGAAATTGAAACGTATAGAATTAATGAGTGCAGCACAATAATGTTTTTAATATGGTATTCGCTGAAATGTTATGTCGTGTGTGAAAAGGTATGCAACAGATTTTGCAGATGTGTCGTGTCTCGCTCCCCCACGCGTTTCCAGTTCTCAAAAATTCAAGACGTCGATTCGCGTCTCCGGTTCGCGATGTGTTAATTTTCTCACGGTCGATATTATATTGATTCACGAAGAATCAATATAATAGATGCATCGGGCGCGTTCTACACCACCTCATGTCGCGACCCTCCATGAGACGTTTTATATGTTTCCTCGTGAGATAACGTCGAGTATTTAAAGAAGTCACATACGACAGGATGTTGGCGCTAAACTTTGGCGGGCGCTGCCGCGCACTTTTGTCATTTCTGTCCCAGTTTATCCCATAACTGTTCGCGCGCGGCGCCTCGCAGACGCCGCCACTTTCGTTCGACGCGGATTTTATCGCCTCTGTCGTCTTTTCACTCGTGATGAAGCGTTATCGTCCGATTTGCATGTCTATTTCCTATCACGAAAGAGATGCGCAAATCTAAAACTCCGAATCTCGATAGTGACGAAACAAATTGATTCTTTTTTCTTTCAAAGGCGTGTCTACGACACGCGGAGTAAGCTTGGCGTAAGAGTTGCGGTAAGGCTTCGTCTACAATATGCGGAGTAAGCCATTATTACACGGAGAAAAATAATTTTGCTCTTTTAACAAAATCATCGTTGCTACTGCATATTCGTAGTGACATCAAAAAAATTCAGTTGACGTAACTAATTTTACAAATTATTCGTTATCAGAACAGAAGTAGTTTCGTTGCCAGGATAGAAAAAAATTGTTGACATATTTATCCTAAGAATCACGTTAATTTGTTATTGATGCAAAATAATATATCCTTAGCAAATTTATTTGCTGTCGGAGCAAAAGTGCAACTGCTTATATAAATCCATTATGATTTTTACACGGAGAAAAATAATTTTGCTCTTTTAACAAAATCATCGTTGCTACTGTATATTCGTAGTGACATCAAAAAAATTCAGTTGACGTAACTAATTTTACAAATTATTCGTTATCAGAACAGAAGTAGTTTCGTTGCCAGGATAGAAAAAAATTGTTGACATATTTATCCTAAGAATCACGTTAATTTGTTATTGATGCAAAATAATATATCCTTAGCAAATTTATTTGCTGTCGGAGCAAAAGTGCAACTGCTTATATAAATCCATTATGATTTTTACACGGAGAAAAATAATTTTGCTCTTTTAACAAAATCATCGTTGCTACTGTATATTCGTAGTGACATCAAAAAAATTCAGTTGACGTAACTAATTTTACAAATTATTCGTTATCAGAACAGAAGTAGTTTCGTTGCCAGGATAGAAAAAAATTGTTGACATATTTATCCTAAGAATCACGTTAATTTGTTATTGATACAAAATAATGTATCCTTAGCAAATTTACTTGCTATTGGAGCAAAACTGCAACTGTTTAAATCCATCATAGTTCTTATAGCAAAATAATTTGTAGATTCAGCAAATTATATCCAGCAAATAGTGATTAGTACTCTTAGCAAATCTTTTTGCTGTTCATATAATAACGAAAAGATTTTGCTAGACCAGCAGAAAATTTGCTGGGCTAGCAAATTATTTTTCTCCGTGTACAAGAATAATCGGCTATGATTGGTCAATTCTTACGGTTTACGGCTTACTCCGCGTATCGTGGACAAAGCCTAAGAAATAAGGATCATTTATTTCGCTTACATTCATATTCTAGGTTCCTTTAGACTGCCGGGATTTGAAGTGTTCGAATCCTCGAAGAAAGTCACCTAAAGTTGTATATATATAGATATATCATATGTGATTTCGATCATGGCTCGCGCCTGTATTTAGGCTTTCCGGCGGTCTAAAGGTTAAGAGAAATACTTTTGATGTAAGGAAGTTAGTGCGAGAAAGATGAGCGAAATAAATTATTTTTATTTCTCACTTCAACTTTTACGCTAAGCTTACTCCGTGTATTAACGTCAGACGAGTCTTAAATGATACCATCGCTTATATAGTTAGTGGCAGAAAGGCGGCGACATCTTTAACTTTTTCTCAGCGAAAATTTTCTCAGAAATCTTTTACTTCTTCTCACGACAGATACGTACTCAATAGAAGAACTTATTTCTTGCTTTCTTTTCTTCTTTATATAATTTCCTTATTAAATACCGGTTGCATTTTCAAGTTGCAATCTTTCCGCCACTGATTCAACACAGATCGACTTAATGATTACTTTATCACGCCAGTGGTCAGCGGCTAATTTTGCCGCGCCACATTAATTTACGTAATTTATATATGGTCAAAACGTAATCAAGTACGTATGAGAAATTAAATGTACAACCGATAGAAAACGAATGAAACGAGCTAACGAGCATATGCATCGCAAATTGCACTTATTCACCGCATGTTTGGCGATGAAAATTTGATTTGAGCACTGAAACAATCGGTGAAAGTCAGCGCGGCAATCAACGAGTTAATACTTAATGACACCAATTTTTTTTTGGTAACTGACACAAGCTGACACAATAGTAGGAATTTTTGATCACGCGCGTATTGTGCCGACCTGTATTCGTGTATTCGTTGCTGTTAATTGTCCAACGAAACTGCAACGATATCTCAAGCGTTACTCAGATATCAGCGACGTTTGCTGCGTGAAAAACGCGAAATCGCAAACATATGTTGAAAAAGTAATGTTCGATACATTTCCGCTGTTTCGTCGAATAATTAACGGCCGTAACGCACGAATATGCAGGCGCAATGGGTGTGATTAAAAAATACAACGGCAACTTCGTGCGCTCGGTAAATGTTCGGGCCATTACGCCGCTCTGCGAACGGGCGATTCTACGCGGAAAATGTTACATCTTCAAACATATTTCTCCGGGAATATCTCTTTCGAACTGCCTCCCGCCTCCTAATTGCGCGCAATACACGCGGCGTCTAATTCGCGCACGACGATTCGCCGGCATTCCCGCGGCGGATATTAAAGAGGGCTCGCTCGCGGAGCTGCCGGCGCAAACGCAACGAAAATTCGCTGTCGTGCATGAACGGCGCTTTAAAATCGATCGGAACCCTTTTCGAACTTCACCGCGCCGCTTATCGTCTTCGGCATCGACATCGGCCGGGGAACGCCTGTGATTCGCCTATTGCAGCGTCTTACGCCTCGAGCGTAATTTATTGCGAAAGGATATCGCCGCCATTACCTACGACGGCGCCCGGGGCTATTATTTTCCCGGGGCGATACTTCCGCGAAAATGATGCAATTGACGGAAGAGGACGTGTGAGAATCCGCGTGAATTCCGAGTAATCGCGGCCTAATTGGAATCATCGGCCGGCTTAATTAAGTCCGGCCAATTGTGCCGCAGTTCCTGAGTATATCTGCGACTACTCGTTCGCAAGGACGTTATCGACATAACGGCGCCTTGAACAATTTCAGCTTGAACAGCTTTTCACGTTGTGTTACCGTGCGACATGATACGACTGCAAAAATGCTGTTGCATAAACAGAATCGCCAACAGCGTCATAATTGATGTAAATCTTCTCGATTTAATAGCGATATTACACGGAGAGAGAATCTTGTGATGAAAATTACTATGGAATTTGGTAGCCGAAGAATAGATCGGCATTCTGCAGTAATTGATCGTCCTTTCATTTCGTACGTGTTATTCATATATTTCAGGAACTGAAATGTGCTATTAAAAAATTAAATTAAAAAATTTGCCATGCTGCTGATGAAATTTATTGTGTTCTTTAGCAGAATGGACCTTACTACAGTCTATTTCCGTGCTAGTAGAAATATAGTAAAATTAAAAGATATATATATATATATATATATATATATATATATATATATATATATATAAAATGAAAAGGAATATATAAAAAACATTATACGAAAAAAACTACGATATTCTCTCCGTGTAATGAAACTAATACGTCATACTTTGTTTTAATAACTCAAATATTAGTTTCAATGATACACTGTTATTGAATTAAGAGGATTGAATTAAATTTTCATTCAATGTAATATTGCCATTAAATTAAGAAGATTGATTTCAATTTTAATTCAATCTTCTTGATTTAATAGTAATATTATTCAAACTAATATATGAGTTGTGAAAACAATATATGATGTATTAGCTTTAGTAATATTATTGTTGAGAGTCAAAGTTTACCCCAATCAGGGCGCTGTCGATAATATAGATTTTTAAATTTGAATTTTAGTTCAATCTTGTTGATTCAATAACAATTTCGTTAAAGCTAATAGTCGAATTATGAAAACAATGTATGATGTATTAGCTTTATCAATATTACCGTTGAATAAAAAAGACTCCAATTATTGCGCCGCCAATCAATTCTATAGATACAAGAGATTTTCTAATTTAAAATTTAATTCAATTTCCTTGAGTCAATAGCAGCATCATTGAAACTGATACTTGAGTTATGAAAACACTGTATGATGCATTAGCTTCGATAAATAATGTTGTTTAAAGCCAATGGGGGGTTCACACCAATTAGAGCGCTGTCGATAATACAGATTTTTTAATTTAATTCAATCTCCTCGATTCAATGGTAATGTTACTGCAGTTAATACTTGAGTTGTGAAGACACAACTCATTAGCTTCAATAATATCGCTGTTGGATCAGGCAGACTTATTACGGCGACCGATTCTATCGGTACAATCGCGCACGGAAAAAAAAGATTTGCTAATATATGGACAACTAAAAATATTAACTGCAGGAGCAAATTTTCTTGCTTTCATAGCAAAGTTATTTAGCTGTGATAGCTAAAAGATTTGCTAATATATATATATATATATATATATATATATAATATATATATATATATATATAATATATATATATATAATATATAATATATAATATATAATATATAATATATAATATATAATATATA